GCAAGGTCTAAGCCCCCAGATGTATTTTTTCATGTAGCTCACTAAGTCTATCATTTGCCTTTTGGCCAATTCCTTGCTGGTGATTCACCTTGTACTGAGCTTTACCAGCTTGTGTTTCTGAAATGTTATTATGGGGCACAGGTTCCATTTTGCAGTGAGCTTGCAGTGCTGGGGCCAAGTGAAAGGAATAGGTAATGTAACAATTTAAATGTTAACATTGTTAACAATTTAAAAACAAAATAATTCTAAACATCTGCTTAAAATAGCTGCATTTACTCACAGGTGTTTCTTATCAATCTAAAATAATGATGCATTGTTTTTTCTCCAGGATTTTAAAATTCCAGATAGGTTCTTTTTAACATACAGAGTAAAACATAATTTACTTTGGTACATAGTAGTAATAGATTTATTAAACACAAGGACATATACAGTACACAATTAGGTAATATATAATGCACTCAGCAATAGTAGAACTATACCAGGAAATGTCTTGAAATCTGTTTTAAGGAAACAAGAGGACTATTTAAGCTAAAACTAGGTAATGCAGGATCCTTTATTAATAATTCTTATTTGTCTGGAAATATGTCTTGACTGTTCTATTTAGTCGCTGCCACAAGTAAAATAGTTTTTCCTAGATCTCTAATCTGTATTCTCCACCTCACTTAAAATACAAAATAGAGGTGTAAATCATTTTTGTATGTGACCTTAGCAGAGAGATTTCTAGTGTAGCTTGTTTGAAAGCTCTAGACATAACAGCCAGAGTTAAAAGTGAAGGATACAGTGCTGAGGCTGAACAGCACATCAGTGATTATCTGCAGGTAGATAGATACTTGTTCTTTCCTGCTCACAGACACAGTCCAGTGCAATTTGATACCTCTTCCAGCAAGTGTAGTGTCTGCAAACAAGAATCTGGGAAATGCATCAGAGCTACTCAGCAGGATGTGTTCCCTTCAGTGCCATAATTCCTCGTGGTACCTCTCTTTGGAGCTGTTGTAGGTATGAGGAGAAGCAAATGGCACGGAGCAGTGCTGCACATCAGCATTAGTGAAGAGCAAAATAACCTTGTGCTTTAGAAGACTGAAAGCCAGGACAGTGTTAATAGTATTTATGAGTTGTGAGAGTGGGAAGAAGCAAAGAAAAAGGAAATGCTTCATCTCTTTTCAAAACACCATCAAGGATGAAATTCACTCCTGGGAGAAGGGCCAGCACTGAGCTTTGGGTATTGCTTAATTTAGGCCTTCAGTGATACAGAAGTGGTGTTTATACTCTTCAACAGGTTCCTTCCCTTGGATGAGTTTAATCTGAAGAACCTAAATTTTCTATTTAATTATAAGAAATACATTCTTAAATAGCAATATGCTATAACTGTGCCCGTATAACTCTTTTTGGTGATTTTCTTTAAGAATTTGGCAAGTCTTAGTGAATTAATACAAATCAATTTAGTAAGCAGCTGTGACAAAAACAAAACCACCCAGAGAGCTGCAATGACATTGGCATAACAGGTGTATTCCTCCATATCCAGGTCCTTACTTGAAATGACAAATAGTTATTTTCTGAGCCACATCACTTTAACCTGTGTGAATAGAGCATTTCTGGGTATCCATCCAGCCCCAGGGGTGATCTGTGTACATTGCTGCATCTGCTGCAGGTTGCACTGCATCTCTCCCAGGACCTGACAGAGCTGGGCACTTGCCCTGGGAGGTGTTAGGGCTGTCACAGGGCAGGATCTGTGTTGATGTGTGCATGGCAGAGGGACTGTCACCTGGGGGCTCTGGCAGAAGAATCTGTGTGCCAGGTCTTTCACTGCACACACTGCTGCTGTAACTTTCATGTCAAATACCATGGGCTTGCCTTGTATTTGTGTTTAAAGAAAAATTGTATGCTAAAAATTCTGTAAAAACAAACATTTACAGTATCAGGGCATTTCTGTTGAGAAGCCGAATCTTTGTTACACTGAATGCTAAACATTTGCATATCCAAACCTTATGTAATAGTTGTCTGAATAATAATAAAACTGCATAAACTGACCTTCGTTCTCTGGCACCACTTCTCCTTTGAAGTCGGCATGACCAAATTCAAGACAATTATGTCATCCTTCATAACAGCCAAACAAAAGTTTGGCCAAACAATCTCTTTTTCTCCATCTGACAGCACTGTGTTTGATTTTTGTAATGTGTATCAATGTAGCTGTTGTTATTTACCGGGTGCTACAAGTGACAGTAAAAATCCCCTTGTTTTGGAGCAATGATCAGCCCTGTTAACATCTGGATTTCATTTATTTTACCTCAGTGCCTACTTCTGCTATACTGGGTTACTTTGGGCAGTAGGTTGCAAGGGGAATATGGCCTGAGAACTCATGTACACCAATAATTTGCAGAATATGTGCAGTATGTGCCCATATGTGACAGAAGCAAAAACAGAGCCCTGGACAGAAGAAGGGAAATTGGTACTAACACTTTCCTCTCTGTCCAAATCTACCAGTGCCACACTCCAGTAAAATCCTCTGTGGACTGCACTGTGTCTGTCACTTAAGGGTTGTCAGCACAGAGCTCAGATTGCACATCACTGGGCCTCAGACCTCGAGGAAGCCTTGGCAAACTGACATCTCAGTCTTTGAACCTCTGTCTACATCATCAAGTGCTTCAAAACTCAAGAGTTTGTTTTCCTTTACCCCCTGATTAAAATAGTCATTGTCCAGGTCCATGTTTAGTGCTGTGACCTTTTTGCTTTCAAAATAAATTAGATTGGGATTAAATATTTTGAGTTTACCTTTATCACATACACTGGATTTCTGCAGAAATTTTGTATAGGTTGTTAGTTATTGCTCTGACTGCAATGTTTGCATCTAACTATGTGTTCACATGTGGTACAGCTCTTCCAGTGATATGTTTTCATATCCAGCTCTACGTAAAGAGCAGCAAACAATCTAGGTTGAGTTTATAGCTGGTTTAAGTTATTTTATCTGGATTCTCTACAGCACTTGTGGCTTCACCATGTAACATCATGGGTGCACATGTGCATGTCCATGCACACATTGATGTTTGTGCTGGTACATAAATATTTCCACAATGAATATGCAAAAGATATGTGTTGCACTTTGTCTGTTGCAAAATTAAGGCACTATAGGAAAAGCTATTCTAATATGGTCCAGTGTTTCACTGCTGAACCATGCATGTTAGAATTATGACAGAAGTCAATAAAGACATGAAAAGCTGAAGTCAAACAAGCTGGGAATGCAGTCCTGATGTACAATAATATCCTTCTGTGTCCAATTGCAATTAGCTCTCAATTTAATTCCTAAATGAGTTTCCAAGGCTTTGTTGGTGTAAATCATGATGTTGGTGATATTTTCTTTATTTTACTTCAGTTTAGTACTATGGTGAAGACAAATGTAATGTGTAGAGTTTATGAAATCAGACAGCTAGTAAATCAATATTATTTTGGTAGTAAATTATGAAGTCAGTGCGAACTGCTTTTAACTCTTTCCCATGGGACAAATAGCTTGAACTAGCTGGAGCTTAAATCAACACTGTGGGCACTGAATTAGTCAATGATTCTAAAGAAGGTTTTGTTGGCATAAAGTACTGCTTTGATCTTCATAGTATTTACAGCTTTTTAATTAGATACAGTCCAGAACAATGGCTTTTATCAAAGCACTTTGGGAAGTGAGCAACTGGACTTTGTTTAGAGCTTTAGATGACACCCTGTTAATATCATGTGGTTGGTATTAATATAGTGATGAAGTTAGGATCTTTATCAAAAGAAACTAACTATTCTAAAAAAGAGTGGCATGTGTTGTTTTTTTACTATCACAAGTTTAGTTATTTCTCAGCATGCTAAAACCTAATCATTTGCTTTGGCCTTGCAGAGAACAAACTAATTTTGCACCCAGAAATTTGAAAGAAGTGACTCTTTTGTTCATCTTGATTTATTTTCGTGTGCTGAGTGACTTGTTGGGAAGTGCTGAGCTTTTTTTTGTCAAGACTGAAAGCAGTTGGTCCAATTTTCAGTGTTGGACATTTCAGACTTGGCTTCTGATTTAAAGTAAACTCAACATCAGTGTGAAAATTCCTCAGGGATCTTGGCAGAGCTGGGATCTATAGTTTTTGGAATGGTAGGCTGGCCTAAGAGTGCTTTTAAAGCTTTACTGTAAGCAATTGTAAAATTTGTAAATTTATAAGAGCAAGAAAGTTAAGTAGCCACTGATGTTTTTAGACCAGCTTCAGCAATTCAGTGCTCAAATAGCCATGCTTAACCTCTAATAAGCAAGTCCCTTTTTTTTTTTTTTTTTTTTTTTTTAAATTTTTCTTTTTTTTTTTTTTTTTTTTAAAAATATTTTTTTTTTTTTTTTTTTTTTTTGACAAGTTGACTACTGAAGTCAATGAGAATAAAAAAAATTGGCTGGATATAGTTGTTTTATTAAAGCTTGAGTTAAATGTTCCTGTTCTCTCAGTTGTGATTCTTTTGGGGCAGAATAAATATTGGTCAATATTCTCTGCCACCTGAGAAAAATTACTCACTGCCTCACTTTTATCCACAATCTGACTTTCACAATGATTCCAAAAGCCATTACTTTATGTTAGTGGTATCTTTATTGCAAACTCTCACTATGGTGGTTTGAGAAATTGGTGTTTTAATCTTAAAATGGGTGTAATACAGGATTCTAAAAATCTTAGTTTCATTGTAAGAGGCCCATCAGGTGTTTGAAGATGATGCCTTGTTGAGACTTTAGTTCCTACACAGCAAGTTTGGCATACAGAAGTTGGGAACAGCAGCATGTTTGGGCACAGCTCTGCTTTGGCAGGAGGCAACACATCATCTACACTGGATCTTCAAAGGCTCTGCTTTTCCCCCATATAATTATTATGTATTAAAATAGTAGATTTGAAATATGATAAATAAGCAACGAAGTAACATAATTGGTACTAGTAATGCCAAGCAGTAAAACATACTCCAAATTTTCCCCCGTTTCCATCTTCTTTTCTTTTCTTTTCCTTTAGAACTCCAGAACAACCCGCTCAGATGAAGACAAGGATGATTCCTGGGATGCCTGGGGGGCCTGGAGTGATTGCTCACGGACCTGTGGAGGGGGAGCCTCCTACTCTCTGAGGAGATGCTTAAATGGCAGGTAAGCCATGTGCTGGTGTATGTGGGGGTTCTTCTGCAGCCCTGGCACATTTCCAATCCTCTCTGGTTGCTTCTGTTTCTGAGACCAAGTGCTGTGTAAGATAGAGCAAGTGATATAAAATACTGCTTTTAATACATGTTTGCAATAGACAAATAACTTAGACTTTAACTCTAAAATTAATGTGTTATGAAATATAATTGTGGAATAGCAGGAATTTATTTGGTATGGTCAAATCGAGAGGGAAGGCCCTTTCACTGTAATACAGATCAAAGGGTCAGTCACCTGTGTAGAAATTAGCCTGCACTTGGACATGGCTTGGCACAATGTTCAAGTGCCTGCTGCTCTTAGGGATGTATCAAATGCCACTTTCTGTCAGGGAAGGAAGAGGCTTAGTCTCAAATTGCCCCAAGGGAGATTTAGGTTGGATGTTAGGAGGAATTTCTTCTCAGGTGATGAGACACTGGAATGGCCCCTCCAGGGAGACAGTGCAGTCACTGTCCCTGGAATTGTTTAAGGCAGGACTGAACCTGGCACTCAGTGCCAGGGTCTGAAGTGACACGGTGGCACTGGGTCACAGGTTGGACTCGATGATCTCAGAGGTCTTTTTCAACCAAATTGATTCTCTGGTTCTTCCCTGCCAGATCCTCCTATGCAGTGGTCCTGCTAGCCATATGTTTTCATGTGTAAGTCTTAGTGTGACTTGAAGAGAAGAATACATGCAGTAAAAGCCTTTTACCCCAGTGGTAAAACTGGCATTTTAAAATGTAGGACTTGTTGGTACAATCCTTAAAGTAGGAGTAATGCACTAAGCCTGAAATCAGGCAAGAAAAGATCCCAGCCAGCTTTGAGGCATCTGTGCTGGCATCCATAATTGCATATTTTACTTGAATTATTCTTTAATATTTTAAAAACTGATGATTGCACTTATATTTTTATTTAGTTGAATGCAGTATCAGCCAGGAAGTCACTTTTTCTTAAAGAAGGCTTGAAGTGTGATGTGCTACTAAAGGGCAGACTGTATGAAATACAGAGCTAAAGGTGATTGATTAAAGCACTGCCCATTTCTTTTAGTGAAAAATGCACAAAGATCTTAGAGAAAAGTAATAGTTCCAGCAAGAAGCCTTGATATTCTACCAATGTGTTTGGGACTGTGAAACAAGCTCAATAAATTGTAGCAGTATAAATTCCACTGTGGTTTTATTAATATTTTTAATGTGTTCCCCTGTGAAAAACATGTGTTTTCCATACCTTGACAAATGCATAGTTTAAAAGGTTTTTGCTATGTTTGATTTTTGTAGTAATGTCTAGGTAATGTGCAATTGTGAAACAAAGTTTTCACATTTGTGTGAATCATAAACATTTTTAATTTGCATGTTGTGATGCAGTAGGGTCTTGCAAAAGATTGGAAATCTGAGACTTGAAATACCTTGAGCTTTAACAGTTGTACCTTCAGCTGAGCTGAGCTCTTGCTTCAGGCATCCATTTTTTCTCCTTCTCAACTGCTATTTTTCAGTCCCTCTCAGACATTATTAAAAAAAATGTTATTTTCATGCAAGAAGAAGAAACATTCTTTAATGTAAGCCCCATCTTTTTGGTTGAAGGAATTATTCCAAAACACTGTTCCTGATTTTAGAGAAATCAATAATTATAATTTCTTGTCCAGTCATTTGAAATATGTTTTAATTTTTTTCAAAGTCTTGATATTGCCATTTTTAACATAGAAGACTATCTTACACTGTGCAAAAGTGCTGGTTCGTTAGTGAGAGATTTGGCAGAGTATATCTTTAAAAAAAGTGTGAAACCCAACCTCCCCAGATTTATGAGACCACAATAAATAACCATGACTCTATTACATGACATTTACTTCAGCTACTAACAACAGACTGAGGATCTGAATTACCTGGATGTCAGGATTCACATGCATTGGGCACATTTGAATGCAGTCCATGAGAATCCTGTTTAATTTAAAATTATGAATCAGATATTCTGATCTTCTCCTCTAGGTCACATCACATTTTTTAGAAACAACTTGTTTGCAATCAGCAAAGAGCAGGCTTAGCGATGTCTTTTTCACAAAATAAATGTGGTTTTCATAAGGTTTGCAGTAAATTTGGCTTACAGGGAAAGTCACACATTCTTTGCTGAGGAGAGACAGCAGTGTAAAGCTGAATACCCAGATCCCCTTTGTATTTAAACCTTGTATTTTGACTCCAGATTATGGTAGGGCAGTAGCAATAAAAGTCTAATTTTTGAAAGAATAACTAGCTGTATAACAGGCAAGGTTGTGTTTTGCTGTTATACACTGTAACCATTTTTACTTTTTTTTTTAGGAACTGTGAAGGTCGGAATATTCGATACAAAACCTGCAGTAGTAATGTGAGTCTGGCCTTTAATCCTGTTTTACTCATTCAAAAAATGTGTTAAAGTTTAAGAAATGCTGCTTCTTATTTAAAACCTTATGGTGCATAATTTTCTTTCCATCATTATTACCATTTTTAAACAGTTCAGTCTGCATGACACCATGAGGTCTCAAATTTAGACTTCCCAAATGGACATTTTCTTTTGAAATTATAGTGCCAATTGTGATTCAGAATGTTTTATATCACTTATTAGGAGAGTTACACATTTTGGAGGATTAACAGATCAATTCTCGTCTTAAACTAGCAAGTGTTTTTCCTAGGGGTGCTGTCTTGTGGACGAAGCATTAAACTGAGCTCAGGATCATTTGTGATCATTAGTGATACAGTGACTCTCCTCATGTGAGCAAAGAGTGCCTGGTCCCTTTCAGATCTTAAATAGAATAATTACTCCTTATATTCCCTGTTTGCCTAAACCCAGATCTTTATACGTCTGTATGCAAGAACATGCACATTTAGGTGCACTGGCACAGATGATGTCCATGAGTGTGAAGCTGGAGGTTTGACCCTGCAGTTGTTGTGGCTGTGATGCAATCACATTTTGTTTTTATAGCCACGTTTTATGGAAACCATTCACGGACAGCAAACCTCATGACTCATGTTCCACTGACTTGTAGTTGTGCTTTGTGCTGTTTAAACAACTGCTGCCCTTCAGCCTGGCTCTAGGCTGCCCAAGGTGAGCAGCTCAGCAGGACTTTATGGTACCACAGTAACGTGTGTGCACAAACAGAGTCATGCAGGGTGATTTATGGTCTGCACTCACCCCTTGCTTGGCTCACCTTGTGGCAGTCAGATGTCCTATTCAAGGAAAGACAGCAGGTAGATAAGTAATTAATAATACTAAAAGGTGAGGCCTGAATTTCCTTTGGGTTGAGTTGTGCCCAAAGGTTTGTAAGCTCAAGTGATGCTCAGTCATTACCCATCCCAGGATTTTTCCCAGCAGCAGGCAGCTGTGGACTGTGACATGTTCTCCTTAAGATGCCTGACACTGGAAGTTGCCCAGTAAATATTGAATCAGTGCATCTCCTAGGAGACCTGACCATTCCTGCTTTTCAGTTTGCCACACCTACAGTGTCTGCTGTGCCAGTTGGCTCCTGCCCTCCTAGAGAGCAAGGCTTGCTCACACCTTGAGTAGCTCTGCACTCCACTGCTCAGTGTTGGATGGATTTCCCACCAGAGCAGCTCGCAGCCGAAGTTCCTGCTGGCAGAAGCAAGTGGAAGTGATAAATTAATCAGCCCCAGTGCATGCAGAAATCAGATTTCTGGAGACAAACCCTTTCAGAAGAAAAGGCCCAGCAGCTTGGTGCACGAGCTCATAAATAAAAATGCTACCTGCAAAAATACCCTGTATTTAAAAGCTGTGTGATAACTTGCTAACTTGTGGCCAGTCGGGATGTAAGCAATGACCAAACTTAGCTACTTAGCCACTGCTTATCTAAATATCTGTTTGTATGCACTGTGTACAGCAACACTGCTCTGAGTGCTGGATCTGTGCACTGCAAATTCATGCAGGAGTACAGAAAGATCATCCCAGTGCACCTTGTGCCTCCAGCACCAGGCCTGGGGAAGGGAGGATGCTGAGGTGCATGTGGGCATGTTTCCTGCTGGCATGCACAGCTCTGTATGCTGTTAGGATATGTATTGCATTTCATTTTAGTATAGCTGTGGATGCTGTTCATTTTAATATTTATGGAGTAGAAATCTAATGGAAATGATAGCACTTTGTGCTTCATCACTGAGAAAATTAAGATGATTCTCATATCCTCTCTGAACTCCCAGAGAATTTATCTGAAGTCACTGGAGCCTGTTTTTTAACTTTAGGACTTACTTTAAAGTGATAAGTGGCAGGCACCTTGTATGTGAATCTGTTTGAATTTATGATGATTAAAATTTTAATTTCCAGACAGGAAACTGCCTTTACAGTTCTGCTTTTGGGGCATGTCTGAATGGGATCAGGTTCCCATTTCAGTTTAGATATAGTCAGAATTTCTCAGGAATGGTTTTTCCTAGATTATGGGTTAGATAATGAAGAACTCCTGAGAAAAATATATTTAATGAGATTTCCACTGTTAATACAGTTGATCTCTGAAATTGGTATCCCTGAATTCAAACCCCATGTTAGATCTGAGTTAACCTTGAAACAGGACCTTACACCTAATGTAAATCTGAGACTACTAGGCCAGTTTAGTTTCAAATAATATAATTTTCCCAAAAGCATTATTTCTAATCAAGGCTTCTCACTTTAGGAATGAAATTGTAGTTTGAAAATTAAGAGTTTATACTAGCTTCTTTCCATATTAATAGGTATTACTGGTAACCACATGAGACATTTGGTATAAATACACAGTGTAAAGCTGTCTGCAAATGTAATTTTGCTACATGATACATTACACCACTAACATCTATACTGGGGAGTACAAATGAAGCACAACTTAATATGTGTGTCATTCTAATGAAATGAACAAGAATCATTTTACCAGAAAATTGGTTTCATGTGGATTTGTAATGGAATAGTAGTAAGTTCATTGAACTCAAGCACAGTTCCAGAATAATATTAGTGATATTTCAATCAAAAAATTAATTCAAGGTCTTAACAACAAAATAATTGCTAAGATTAAAGTGTATGTATAGCCTCCTTATCTTTCCGTCATAATTGAGATGCCAGGTGCATGATTGCCTAAAACTGCATGTGTGCTTTCAGCCTTCCATATAGATATTTTAGAGGAATAACTATCCATTGTATGATGTTCAATGAGATTTTCAGTCTTTCTTGCACCCCTTTTTTAAATTTCAGTTTTTGTATATAGTGTTACATTCTAATGCTATGATGTGCACTATGTGGAAGTGTTTAAGTTAATCCTTTAGGGTCCTATTCACAGAACAAGTTATTTGGGCCATTTCCCCATAAATTTCACATTCTTGTGTGCCAAAAAGTCGCTTATATTTTTGCCAGAGTGATTCTTCCACAGTCAGAAAAAACACTATTTTGTAAAAGACAGCCCCATATTTAATTCCATTGTAAACTTTTATTATATGTAGATAATGCTCACACTTGTTCAACACATTAATCTAAAACTGTTCCAGCATCCACTTAACCAGCTAATTTATCCCATTCAGAAAATCTTGGCTGTATTGTGTCTACTTTAGACTGTAATATTTCACCTTCAGTTACATCGTTTCTCTCTAATCTGTTCATTTATTTAATTTATATTTACAATGCTGATGCACCATGAAGCTCCCTTGGCTGGGGTGATTTCCAGCTCAGGTATCTTGATTCTGCTTAGGAGTGGCCTGAAAATTGTGTAGGAAAAACACAGAACCTGAAGCTAATTTCAAAAAGAAAACAAAACAATGACTTCATCAGTTTTGGCTGTGTTTCAACAAAATGAGAATCAAAGAATAAAGCTAGACAAAGGGCTAGACTTTCTTTGGTGTCATCATTTTTACTGGGAATTTTCTTGCCTTCTCTTTTGTGCTTTTTTCAGTAGAGTAATTGTTGGCAGGAGTCACAGGGTCTGATGCAACCTTCATATTTTGTACATGAACATTGCCTACAAAGATACAAATTTCCCAGGTCAGCTTTGTTTTCAAAGGTTGAAGGCTCTCATTGCCAAAACTCAAAGATACATTTCATAAGAAGCCAGCCCTTGGATGCAGTAGTCTTTAATTTTGTGTCACAAAAAAAAAAAAGGGTATGTATGTGTGTGTGTGTGTTTAATCTTCATGGTAGTCATGTCTAAAGCATCTTTTTCAGATCTGTCTAATATGTTCATAAGTCATGTCATAAATACATTTCATTCCACTGCAAGGTCTGGCTGTGATTGTTTTTGCCAACATTGTCATGTATTAGACCTCTGGATATGTCTTCAGCTCCTTATGCAGTGTATGAAACTACAGACAACCTGGCCATGGTTCAGTGGATTGAGTGTGATAGAAAAGCTATTGCTGAAATTAAGAAATTGGAGAAATCCTGAAATTAGTAGCAAAAAAAATTAGCAAGTAAGAAAAAATGTGAAATATTGACAAGGAAGAGAGAATGGTAGAATGAAGTGATGTCTGAAATAGATTAAAACCAGAGACACACAAACAGGATGAGGGCTGGGTCCCCCATATCATTGTCTGATATTATGACCCTGCCCACTTCCTGAACATAATTCACCCTTGCCTGCCATTCACATCTTTGCCCTGCCTTTCCCTTTCTATTTTTTAAACTCCCTTTTGCTTTTCCAAATCACTCTAATGGAAGTAAACTGATGTTTACAAGTCCTCTTGTTGTCTTGATTGCAGTCATTCTGTGCTTAGTTGTGTTTCCCTTTAAACTCCTTTCTTTACACAAATATTTATTGTTCCCTGGAAGACTGGGATCTGGACTTGGTTGCCATCCAAACTCTGATATAATGCAAATGATAATAATTTCAGCTCTTTGATATCCCCCTGTGATGCTCCTTTTGTGCTCCTGCTTTTTCACAGAACTCAAACATAAAGCAGGTGGAGCTGGCACGTGAATCGAGCTGCCAGAATCACTTTGGGTTCTTTGAAGATGCCAAAAGAGAACAGGGAGAGGAGGAGTCACTTGCTCTGAAGCAGGCAGGAGGCGAGTGGAAGGCAGGAGCTGCATTGTGTTGAATCAATGAGGAGCACACAGTAACCATGGGCTTGACATCCTGACTTTGTGGTGTTTGTGTCTTGGCATCGCATCAACGCCCAGTGATAATGGACTGTAAGAGCAGCCTGTCAGAGCTCAGCTGAGGGCCATCACTCTGCCTGCTGGACAGATTTCTCCAATTCTTTGTGATGAAAATGTAGCTGTGCATAGCTGCGTGACCACTACTCCCAAATACTGCTTCTAACTTTACCTGAATCTAACGTCTACTTACTATTTTTTGATCCTTAGTTGCTCCCCTGTTTGCATTGGTGGGAGGGAAGCATATGGTATCCATATGAAAATCTGAAGTCCTCTCTGCTTTTTAGACTTGATATTGTGGAAAATGAGAGGTGACAGATAAGTCAGAGCCAAAATTCTGCTCTCATTTACACCAGTGAAACTTGGTGAATTTCTGGGGAGTGACACTGCAGTAAATATGTGTGGCTTCTCACAGTATTTACTTGATGTTTCTAGAAGCTCCCACTGGAGGGATTCTATAGAAGTAAAATTCTCCCTATGTCTTATTCCATAATTTCAAAAAATATGGCTCAAACTAGAATCATCCCAGATTAAAAATAATACAAAATGTGTTAGTATCATTCTAAATTATTGTCACTCTAAGGTGTAGCATTAGACAGAGCTGAAAAGTTTTGCTGGGAAAGTTCAGTAACTTGCTCAGTGCTCAGCTGCAAAAACTCCATATGTTGGTCAGTAGATAGAATACTGATTTTTAGAAGGTATTTTATGTAGATTACAACCAGTTCAGAGACAGTTCTAGGCTACTGTTTGCCACAGTGAAAAAAACTCCAGACTGAGTGCAATATTGTTGGGGGCACTGGACTGAAATTCAAAACTTTCTCCTGTATATTTTACTCTCCAGTCCTGTATAATGCACTTGCTATTTTGTCAGCTTTATTCAGGGAAGGTTCAGTTCACTGATAAGGTTGAAACTGTTGGGATCAGTATTGTTAACTAATACTTACTAATAAGTTCCATGAGTTCGCCTGACACATCACAATCTTTCAGTCTTCCATCCAATGAAAACAAAACATTACTAAAATCAGCTCCACATCTGGCTTATATGTGCAGTTGGAATTCTTGGAAGAATATCCTTTCAGTCTGGCATATGGAGTCTTTGACACTGGACATACTTTCAGATGAAGTCTGCAGTGAGGAATTGTTTGACACAGTAACTCCTTTGCCAGTACTTTACCAAAGTTATTTTCAAATCAATCAGTATTCATCTCCATTCCTGTCACTATAGTTTAATATTAACATCATTGTTTGGGTGCAATGCCTGATTTAGAAAAAAATATTTTAGAATGTTTTATTTCAAGCAGTTCTCATACTTGGTCTTTCAGCTGTGTGTGCTGAGGCACTGTGTGGGAGAAGGGATGCAACTGTCTCATTAAAACTGGAAATACAGGATCAATTGTTACCAATTTGAATTTTATTTTATTGCAGCAAAATAAGTCTTACTGCTTCCATGAGGTGAAGGTGCTTTGTAATTATATTAAAGGACTAAGCACTGACATTTCTGGTGTTTCCTCCCAAATCTTGTGCTTTTTTCAAGAAGTACTGAACAATTAATTAGACAATTTTTTTTTGTTTATATGTAGCTTTAATACCTCTTTCATTACTCTGCCATATGAATTGATGAATGAGCGTAGAGGCCTCAGAAATCCTTTAGTGGGAAAAGCTACTGAAAAGAGAAATACTAAATGTCAGACATCACCTTGTAGTTAACTTGAAATATATAGATTCCTTTAGAAGCTAGTTCTTACTATAGAACCAGACTTTAACTGTATTACCTAGTGTCATAAAAATGAGCATTTTTAATTATCCTCTCATATCACTTATGTTGTTATTGCTGGAATACGCATGATATTCTGTACTTGTACTCCAAACAATGGATTAAGCAACATAAATTCTTTTAATACACACAATAGAACTTTGTAGTATGGTGTATTTGTCAAAGCAGATCAGTTCTTGAACAAAACCTGCTTGAAGAGCTTCTGTGTTATTCACAAGATAACTTTACTGCAAATGCAAAGTATTCCCTAGTTTAAAAAAAATACATTTTTTGTTTTGCTTTCAGGACTGCCCTTCAGATGTTGGTGACTTCAGAGCACAGCAGTGCTCTGCCTACAACGATGTCAAATACCAGGGACACTTTTACGAGTGGGTCCCTGTGTATAATGATCCTACTGCACCTTGTGCCCTGAAATGTCAGGCTCTGGGAAAGAACTTGGTTGTGGAGCTTGCCCCAAAAGTGCTGGATGGTACTCGCTGCAACACTGAATCCCTGGATATGTGCATCAGTGGAATTTGCCAGGTAAGTTCATGGTATGACTCTAAAGGGGGCCTTTGTTGAGAAGCCCTTTGCCCTTCAGTGGGTGTTTTGGGATTGTTTTTCATTCTGTTTATCAGTTTAGATGTATCTGTAAATGCTGTGGAATGGATTGCAGATAACTTACCTTTTCAGGAAGACACAGAACTTCCTGACTGCCTTAGCCATGGGTATTTATCTATACAGATAAAAGGTCGATAAAATTCATTCACCCTTCTATTTATGCATGCAAAAAATAATGAACCAAGATATTGTAGCTATAGCTTTCCAAAACTTAGTATATCTGTGAGGATGTGATGAAATTGCAGAGCCTTCCATTTCATTTTATTAATTTTCTGACTCTCATGTAATTTCTGTTAAGGAGAAAATGGGACATTTTATGGGATCCAGCCCATAATGAGTATGTAGGTCTGTCCTGTTGTATGGATGAGTGACTGTATGTTGTGGCTGCATGAACTGATTGAGTCTTTAAATGGCAATATACCTTTCTAGATATATTCGTTATTTATTAGTTATTCTATTGACTTTATACAATTGGTGTAAAAGCAGAGAGTTACAATATTTGAGCTTGCTAGCCTTGCCCATGTTTCATTAAGAAAGCAATATTGCAAGCTTGTTTTATGAACAGAGCAGTTTACAGAGAATGGACATGTTATTGCAATTAGTTTTCTTTCTCTGCAAGTGGTTGTTGCTCTGTTAAATGTCTAAAAATGTGTGTGACTCAAAAATGCAGGATATGGCCCAGTGAGAAAAATAGCTCTATTATAGAGGAAAATTTGACACATTTGGCAGAAGACTGGTGCATGGATTATAGCAACATTAATATATGATCTGGACCTTGCTGTGGGTTTTATGTGGCTTCTGTGTATGCTGCAGTTCCGATGCCAGTCGTGTCAACACACGGTGCATCTGCTGCCTCTGGAGCAGAATTCCTCACAGAGAGACTTCATGTGTCAATGGTGCTTCACTGTGGGATCCAGCAGTTTGTTACCCTCTGTTGGAAATAGGATATACCTCCAGAAACTCTGGGTGCACTTGCCAAATAATGTATTTCTTGTGCCATGTTCTTAGTGACGCTTCCTATCCCAATAAAAAGGCTTTTACCCAGGAGGGCTGCCCAGCCTTTTCCAGGGCTCGAGTGCAGGGCTGGGTCTAAGGCAGCTCTGGGCTCTTCAAGGGCTTGTGCCAGGGTGCTCTGGGGGTGCCAGTGTCTCCCACAGCGACTTCAAACACTTCCTTCCATCTTTCATACATGGCGTAAAATTCTCTTTGCCCAGAGTGGATTCAGTTTTGTGAAGAACAGTTGGGAGGTATATTTAAAAGGGCTGCTTTCACTGTTTCTTCTTAGCATTATGTAGTATTCATGTGTATATATGATAGAAAATTCTTGGAAATGTAAATAATACATATTTAGAATAAATGAAGGGGTGGAGAAGAAATTAATCATTCCAGAAGCAGGAACTGGAACTCTTACGCTGTTGATGAGAATCAATTCCTTTTCTCTGTCTCACATTTTTATTTTTTTTTCATTATTTCTTCCAATTTCACAAAAATATTTTTCAGTGAGAGGTAACATCTTCACGAAAAAAGCCTGGAACAAACATGTTTAGAGTGTGTTCTGTGCTGTAACTTATTAATTTTTTTTTTTAAATTTATTGCTGATACTCATAAACAATTAACTGTTTTAACTTTATTTTCTTGAAGCCACTGGCTATTCCTGAGGTATTTTTGCACAAATTGAAAATTTTTGCTTTTTAAAATATATATTTAATAATTTAGTGTTGGATAATTTTATTGAGATAAAAAAAAAACTGAAGTAGAATTCAATTAAATTAAATAAAGATTCATTTAAATAATCTTCTACTCTTTTGGGGGAAGAGTGAAAGGTTTCTTTCTTGTGAAAAAGGGGCTGTGGGAGGAGGGATCTTCCTCAGAAACCAACACAGAGCTTTGTGCTACTCCTGTTTGAGCAGGAAAAGAAAATAAATTGATGCCTAATCTTTCACAGAAAAACATGGTTATTTAGTTAACTGCTCTTAAAAGAGACAGCACAGTTGTGATTCTCCACAATTGTTGCTGTAAGATCTGTCTGGTGGGTTCTGACATGTAATTGGCACAACCAGCAAATTGCTTGGCAAGGGTTTTACAGCTAAGCCATCTAAATGAGCACATCACACTGCTGATGTGGGGATCTTCACTTCTGTGCCTGGGAGCACCAAACACTTTCTGTCAAGGAGATTGGTGCTGGTTTTGCTCATTTATTGTCTTGAAGTTAACTCAACTTCCCCTTCTCCCCAACATGATTTCACTTTTGTCTCTGTTCTGGTTCCTGCTATGGTGGGCTGCATCACTAATTCTGTCTCTTGTTCAAGCTCTCACCTTGGCAGCATTTGAATTTCAAATGGGGTGAATTTTTGTACTCCAGCTTCAGTTCTGATCCCTTGTACTTCCCTTATCAAGCAATTCAAGCTAAATAAGCTCTATGAAAGCAAACTGTGAGATGACAAAGCTGCATTCTGAATAGGAGGTAAAATCTAAAGATGGTGGAACAGGGAAAGGTTTATTGGGAAAATCAGTAAGATATTTTGAGGTTGCTTGAGGCTTAACTCAGTCAAACCATTTGATCATGTTTTAGTTTGCTGCTGCCCTGCTTCTGTTATCAACCCAAATATCTGGGGCTGTTGTGTTAAATGGGGACAGGTCAAAACTTCACTGCCAGGATTTTCACACTTCTAATAGTTTTTCTAGTCTCTGCATAACTCCCAAAACATTTTTTCATATAATGTGTTCCTGCTGTGCCCATCTGGCTGTGGGTGGAGACATTTAAAAACATCTGCATGTCAGACACATATGTGGGTAACATTTACCCAGTTACTCCTCCTGCTTTGGGGCCCTGCCTCTTCTTGGGTTTTGTTTTTAATTTGTGCAGACCTGCTTTTTTTCTACCAGAATGCAGAATGGGGTGTTACTTGTGCCAGCACCTGAAATGGTTACAGTGGTAATTTTCCTAATATGGAGTAATATGTTTGGACAACAAATACACGCATCACCCAAAAAATCTGGAGTCCTGAGGAGCAGCCTGACTAGTTCTGTCCTAGGCTGTCACAATTAGGTCAAGGATGATGTAAATCCTGCAGTGAACTTTCCATTTAGTGTCAGCAAGTTGTTTGTGTTCCAAAAAAGGCAGACACTACACTGTGCCTTGTAGCATATGGCATAAATTTAGCTGACATCAGAACACATCCCACATGTCAAGGGCAAAGCCATCAACTCCTGCCATGCTCGCTCTCCTCTGTCACGTGTCATCATCTGGCGAGTAGGTATCACTCACCACAAAGCACTCTTGTGCTGGATGTAAATATCTGTCAGAGTTTTCACTGAAAACAGTTTCTGTAAGCTCTTGGAATACTCTTGCAGTTCTTCTTTTTTAATAAGCTTTATTTGTGTTTTAAACTTAAAATTATAGCAGAGTACAATTTTTTTTTCTGAATCTTGGCTCCTTTTATTCTAAGAGTTGCTTTCTCAAACTGTTTGTTTTGTGTACTTTCTCTTTTGGTTCCTGCACATACATTTTCTTGCCTGTAAATATGTTTAAGGACTGCCCAAGATGCACAGGAGGTTTGATGTGCAGAGACTCAGAAAGGAAAGTCTCCTTTCCATCCTGTGTTACTGCAGACATGTTTCTAACACATGTTAGTCTAAGTAGTTAATTCTTAAATAGCTGTTAAAAAAGCACCTTCCCCCCCCCCCAAATTAATACTTACTCTTGATCCTTATTTTTAATATTTAAAAATTACAAAAAAAGTCTGTGTTGCCTTTTTCTTTTTTTAGCCTTTGAGTGATTCATAGGAAGAATTGATTTTGAGGTAACTGTGTCAAGCCAGCTGTTATACTAAACCTGGCATTCTTTCCTGGGTACCCCTAATTAGCAAATGCACAGAGTAAAGTGCATTTTGGAGCATGAAGGTGTAGACACCTGTACTCTGTCTACCTGTTACTGCACCAGAGCTGCAGGCTGGACCCTGCCCAGAAAGACTGGCAGTGACTCAGGGAGATCCAACAGAACTTTCTGGCTCTCAGAACTACATATGAAAAACTTCATGTGACTGCACACGTGTGACAGGGATCATAAAACTGGGAGTGGGGAGCTCCAGCTGCAGCTCAGCTGGCAGATGTTGGTGGTTCTCCAGAGGTCCCACTGGAGGATGGGGCTGAGCTAAGCAGGAGCTGCCACATCCTGTGTGACCTGTCAGTGTCACCCTCCCTAGCCTCAGGGGGTTGGTTTCTCATCTGTGGAAGCTCAGGCCAGCAGATCATGGAGCCACCCTTCAAGGGCTGCACTTGTCCCCTTTGAATGTCACTGCCCACCTTGGTGGTGGGCTTTTATAAATAAATAATAACAAGATGCTCTCAGACGCTGCAGGTAATAATGAGATACTCTCAGACACTGAAAAGGTTTTTGGGATCACTTGTTTTTATTTTGCAGTTTCCCACTCTTGCTAGAAACTGGTGTTTCTTTTCAGGTCTTATCTTATTCTCTATCCTACTGTTCCACATGGAGAATGCTCTCCATAGGCATTTCTTACTGTGGAAGTTTATCCTTTCTTGTCAGATGAGTAGTGGGGTTTTTTCTGATCTCCAGTGTCTTATCTATACTTCTTTGGTCATAAGTGATTCACTGTCAAGTTTTGTTTTGTTTTAGTAAGCTGAGTGCAAATGTGACTTTACTTCCCAGCCTAGCAAAGATCTAAATCATGTGAGCAGTGATAGCAGAAAAGCTCATGATTTGGGTGTCATCTTGAAGTAGAGCCTTAGTAACCTTCAAATCCCCCAGGGCTAACTTCATCAAGCAAGGCAGATTTGACTGAACCCAGCCAGAAAAGGAGCAAAGTAATTTGATTTCATATACTGATTTCTTTTTTGAAATTGTTCTCACAAACAAGAAGCTCACTGGGAGTTTGTGTCCTATCCTCTGGCTGTGTGTA